AACGTCGGCTTCGGGGAAGCATACAATAGATTCAATTCTGTCTCTAGGGCATGACCATCAAGAGAAATAACGGACATTAAATCGGCTTCGGGGAAGCCTTCAATAGATTTAATTCTGTCTCTAGGGCATGACCATCGGGAGACATATCGGACATTACCTCAGCTTCGGGGAAGCCTACAAACTGACATTTGTGATCACTATCTCGGCTCTGGGTGAGCCTACAACGGGCATCGAACATTACCTCGGCTTCGGTGAAGTCTACAGACTGACATGTTCGGTCACAACCTCAGCCGAAGACCTACAAATTTTCATTGCCTCGGCTGCAAGGCCATCGAGAGACATGTCGCACACTTGTCTCGGCCGTCTGGCCAACGAGAGACACGTCACTACTTTTGCCAATGTCTCGGCCGGTCAGCCATCGAGAGACACTCTTCTCGTCACTGCCAACGCCGCGGGGCACCGAGTAACATTTTCACCACAATTACCTCGGCTTTGGGAAAGGCTACAGTGAAATTCGAGCGACATGACCTCGGCCGCAGCCTACAATGTATCGACTGTTAACATCAATGTTAAAAGACTTCTTTGCGTAACTGGCTCGGTCGGTGTACTTCACACAAGGCTCCCTAATATTTGAACAGACCTACAGTTAAACCTTGATACGGAGACAAGATGCAAAATAAAATGACCCCAAGTTCAGGTCGAGACGTAAACAAGCCACTCCGTGGGCAATAAACAAAAACCACCCTAGTCAACAATAGACACAGACTACTCCTAGTCGTCGTGACCCCAAGTCACTTAAAATGGATCCTAATTATTTAAAATGAGTCACTTGTACTAATTTGTGACCTTCAATGTAGATTGGGGAAATTCTGCCAGATGGATTATAAGTAATAACTTATGTTTCTTCTGCGTTTAATTCCATGCCATACTTGGTTGATGTTTCCTCAAGAAGATTTACAATCTCGACTAGTTCTTGCTATTCTCGGCCAACCCATCGATGTCATCTGCAAACCTTAGGTTTGTTATAGTTCGACCTCCAATACTAACTGTTTGATGATGTCGTTCTAGGACATCAGTCATAATTTTTTCTAAAAAGATGTTAAACAGTGTTGGAGAGAGGAGGCAGCCCTGCCGGACTCCTACTGTTTTTCGGAACCAGCTTCCTATTTGTCCGTTCAGCTTGACAGCACTGCTGGCCTTGGCATAGAGATGTTCTATATTATGTTTGAGGGTTTTACCCATATTGTACTTTTTCATAAGGGTCCCTCCCAGAGTGTTGCATGCTGTAATTTGTTTAGGAGTATCTTGAGCATGACTTTGCTGGGATGACTGATAAGACTTTTAATCCCATAATTTTGACATTGTTGTAAATTTTTGGGATCGTAATGGTGAGTTATTTGGTCCAAAGAGATGGCCATTCACCAGTCTCCCAAATTTTGTTACAGATTTCAGTGAGGATGTCGAAGACGTCCACTCCTCCCGCCTTAAGGATCTCAGCTGGGATATTGCCAATCCCCCTAGCTTTAACATTTTTTTTTTTTAGTTCTGATGACCAGTTCTACTTCATCCCCGAGTATGGGGAAGCTGTCATCTTCCTGTGCTTGGCTGTTTTCAAGGATGTCAGTATTGCTATTTGTTTGTTCGTTATACAGACTCGAACAATATTCAGACCATCTTTTTAGGATGTCATTACTTTCTGTGAGTATTTACCTTCTGTGTCTTGGATGGCGTTGGTCTGTAAGGTGTGGTCACGCCTGGCACTGCAGCCAGCAGTGTTGGGGGCAGCTGGCTCTCCTAGTAGGGTGAAAAGTGAAAATTAGTAGCCTGCTGCTGTCCCGTGATCACACAAGTCAACCCACCTCTCCGTGGTGCAGACTGGAAACTGTATCCGCGAGGATACAGGCTAACAGGGAAATGACCATCTGAAAAGGAGTGGGCCCCGCCAGGGTTGAAATACTGCCCGAGTCGCACCATCTTCTTCTTCTTCTTCACTTCCTCTTTTACCGCTGTGGGTGTCGAGGGAGATATAAGGTTCTGTTTCTATCTCTTCTGGCTGCCTCGACCATAGGCACATCGTGCTGCTGTAGAGTTTCTCTGATGTTATCCTTCCATCTTGTTCTTGGTCTACCCCGTGCTCTACGTCCTTCTTCTCTTTCCATGTATGCTTTGTATGGTATGGTGTCACAAGGCATTCTCTCTAAGTGGGCAAACCATTTCACTTGCTGTCTTTGTATGTAATCCAGAATTGGTTCTGGGCCGACTTGTTCTCTTATGATCTCATTCCTGATCTTATCTCTTATGGTCACTCCTACAGCCCTTCTCAGGCATCTCATTTCTTTTCTAATTTTCTTTTATGGTTTGTTGTGAGTGACCATGTCTGGCACTGGTAGCACAGAGTTAGAATAAATATGCTTTGAATAAGATGTCTCTTTGTGCTGATTGGGATTGTCTTATGCTGTAAGAGGGGGGCTAGCTGTCCCAATATTTGGTTTGCTTTACTGCATCTAATGTCAATTTCTTTATCCAATTTCCCATCTTTGGTAAATGTAGTTCCCAGATATTTAAACCCAGATGCCTGTTTAATGCCTTTGTATTCAATTGCTATGTTTAGATCTGTCTTCTTTTTTCCTATTGACATTACTTCTGTCTTTTCAGTGTTGATTCTCATATTATTTGTTTTACATTCTTCATTCATGGATGTTAGATGTTGTTGCAATTTTATGGCTGTATCTGCTATCAAGGCCTGGTCATCTGCAAAGAGTAATTCGTTGATCTTACTAAGATCTTCATTCATGGGCTTGGCATTCTTGCATATACTGTCGATGTAGGTGATAAACAGCAGTGGTGATAAGACACACCCCTGTCTTGCTCCAGATGTCACTGTGAAAGGATGAGATGTTCCCTGATTTATTCTAACTACACCATGCTGTTTATTAATAGAACGGATACTACACTGACTCGGTCGTCATCCGGGTTACCAAGGACCGCGCCATCCGTCCCAGATCAGGGCGGACACGAAAAGTTAGCTACTGATCAAAACGAGAGCAAGTGTATACTTGGAAGGAACACAGCGGTTTTTGGCACTTGGAATGCAGACTGGCAAGCTAGCAGAGCTACAACATTCCCTAGAAAGGTATAGTTGGCATCTCATTGGTCTATGTGAGACTAGGTGGAAAGAGTTTGGAGAAATAACAACTGATCAGGAACATGAATTTTACTTTAGTGGAGAAGATAGAGGAGTAAACGGCGTTGGCTTTACTGTGCAAAAGAATATTAGAAACACAATTACTGGATGCAGTCCTGTCTGGAGCAGACTCATATCAATGAGCTTAAACGCAACCCCTTTCAATATTATGGTCATACAAGTCTGTGTTCCAACTACAGACTACGATGACAACTCTACTGAGATTTTCTATAACCAACTCCAAAACACCAAAGAAAGATGTAATGATAATCCAGGGAGATTGGAATGCTAAGGTAGCAACAGATGCGCAGGCAGACTGGACAGACACTTGTGGACCCTTCTGCAACAAAATCACCAATGAGAGAGGATTCAGACTACTAGAATTTTGCAAACTCAATAACCTCCTCCTAGCTAAGAGAATTTTGACATGACACTTACCGAATGGCGAGCATCACAACCAAATTGACTACATACTAGTCCAAATTGTTTTAAATCTGGGATAAACAAAGCAAAGACAAGGAGCTATCCAGGAGCTGATATAGAAAGTGATCACAATATGGTGCTGCTAAATTTTAGAATCCACCTCAAACGTTTAAATTGTGCCAAGACCATACGACTGCAATACGACATTGACAAACTAAAGGATCCGGTGGTGGCGGAAAATGTCAGAGCCAAAATTGCAAGAAAGTTCGCTCCTCTTATTAACAACATTAAAAGTGTTAGAAACACTAACAAATGAATTCACCAAAAAAAAAAAAAATGAAACAACACAAGAAATAATTGGGATACGTAAAAAAAAAAAAAAAAAAACAAACAAAGCAAACATGGGTCACTCTATAAATTCTTAACACATAGGCCTATGCCCAGCGAAGACACCTCAAGAAAGACAGGCACAATCCTCAACTAGCAGACAAGTATAGAGAGATAAATATTCAAAGTAGAAAAGATATGCCACGGGCAAAAGAAAGTTGGATAGAAAGCAGATGTGCAGAAATAGAAGATTGTAACAAGTTGACCAATAGTAACAAAGCTTTTAGCATTATTTCAAACATCAATTGAGAGAAAACAATATAAAGTTACTTATATTTTTATAGACCGATGTGTGATGTGGCCAACATCACACAGACTATCTTTACTTCCAAGGACTTCACCTGGTACCGTTTAAGGCTGTCTAGTGTGAGTGGGAGGTGGGATATATTCACAGTCTGTGGCTTGCATGCTTGTTGCACCCCACCAGGCCATCACACAAGCGGACAAAAAAAAACACCTGGTGACACAAAGTGCCACCATGCGGATGAGGGTCGCCCGTGGAGAGGTCCCAGAAATCCCTTTCAGCCGTTATGGCCACACTTGTGGCCCAGCTATATTCAGGGCCCCAAGCAAAAGCCAGGGTTGGGCTTCAAAAAACGAAAAATTGCATTCCACAAGGGGATGACTGAGATCTGCACAATCTATTTTATTTTACTTTATTTTATATTCATAATCGTGTGCCAGATTTTTACCTTATTAGACAATTTATACAAGAGATAAAATAGTTTAGAAATTGAATTGTCAGTTTCTGTTTCAGCAATCGTAGAGTGACGATTTTGAAGTAGCTGTGATAAATATAGAGAGTAAATATTTATTTTTGCATTTCAAACCTTACTAACTTCATTTTAAATTCACTTAACCAAAATGTCCGAATTTCGGCGCAAAGTCCTGTCTGGCATAAAACATATTTTTGAACCACAAAGCGCCCTGATCGAACAGGCAAATCGCAATAGTTTGTGCATTGTTATGATTTTTGGAAAATACAGTTAATTCGACAGTTAGGAAAATGAGCAGAGTCGTAGCGATTGGCATTTTTCTGCTTTCACTGACATCATGGCCTGTAGCAATAGTGTTAAACAAGTTGAATATATTAAAGAGTGAACGTGCTGTATTGTTGGCAGGGGCCCTTTACATTGGGGTTGTTCTGGTTGCAACATTGTTTCTGTTTCGACGCAACTTCAGAAAGGTGGACCCTTTCATGTATGGTGAGTTACTTATTCAGAAGAGGAAATGTGCATTGAATCGATATCTTTTACAAATTTGTACATGCATTTTAAAGAACTTTGTGACAGCAACGGTGTTACTATTTGATGTTGGCGTTCCTGACCTACTTTTTTAGTGCTGAAAAAAAAATCTGCTGGCTCGCTAGACCGGTGACATTAGAGCTTATGGGATGGGAGGGTTGGACGGCAGCAGGAGCATTGTTACCTGCGAAAGGCGAGGAGCAGGAGGACGAAACTGTTGGTCGTATAGGAGTTCTTTAAATAGAACATTAGATAAGATTATTATCAAGTAAAGAAGTAAACAGAAGCAACATGGATCACTCTAACTTTTTGACCCCCCCCCCCCCCCCCACACACACACACACAAACTCAAAAACCACACCCCCAAAAAAAAAGGACAAAAATTAAAATCCCGAAACCTGTAACTGTAACCACAATCTGACTGATTGTGATCATTATCAGGCTACATTTGAAAAGTACACTTAAATAAAAATGCACTTAACTTACATTTAAAATCCACAATAACTGTCATAGGCAACACAGTCTCAGTCAGAAGTAGGCAACCATCAGCCTTCATTGCAATGGGACCTTCATGGAGTTGTGCCTGTGATATTGGGAACAGCATCTGCAAACGGGAGTGGCATCAGTCTCTCCCATATAGTCCACATAAAAACTTTGATATTCTGTGGCTGGTTTTCTCTCACACAATATAGCTTGCTGGATTTGGCTTCTTTCGAACTGTGACAGTCCTTCTTTTACTGCCTGCATCCAGAGGAGTCGGTCTGCAGCAGATCTCTCTTTGTCAATGTTGATGTCTTGCAGGACACGCTTTTGCATAGTGTTGGCTTTTTGCAGACCTTATCCCTATTACCATTTTACCATACTTTTAAGTACACATTCATTGGGACAAAATCTTGCATGATATATAAAGAGTGCGTCTCATGCAATGTATGTGGAAGGTATTTGGTCTTTTGTGTTGTTGAATAGCATATAGTCCAATCTTCACTGCCATAAAGGAGCATGCTCAAGATGCAGATAAACGTTAATTGTGGTCATGTCCGTAAGCTTTTTGTTTGTTCTCACTCTTGGGAGTTGGAAAGCATTACAGAAGCTTTTCCTATGTCTTTTTAGTTCTGCTACTAGGGAAAGATCATCTGTGAAGCGAGAGCCTATGTGTTCGTGTTGTACAACTAACAGCTCATGGTTGAAAGAGCTAGTGCTTAGCGGGTTTAGTGTATTCATCTCTATCACTTGCATTTTGTTGAGCCTAAAGGTGACTCCAAGTTCTTTGCATGCATTTGCAGAGCAGTTCATTAGAATATGCAGATCATTTTCTATATGTGGTCTGGCTGTATCATCCGCAAATAGAAAGTCCCTCGTGCATCTTGTCTGCACCTTACTCCTTGTATGAAGCCTGGGCCGATTGAAAAGATTGCCATCTCACATTGTACAAAGATAAATATTTGCATAATCATTGCAGTATTAATTCTTTCTCACCTATGAATTTTGAGACTTGGCTCACATTAATTTTAAAAAAAAGGCACTGAGAATGTAAAATCTTTCTAATCCCTACAAAAGTATATATATTTTTTAAAAAGAGGAATGAATATATACTTTGAATCTGGTGATATGTTTTTGTTTAACACTGTCATAGTTAATAGGAAAAAAGAATTCAGCAGGTTTTATGTTTACAAAGACAAAATTTTTCCCACAAAATCTTAACTTACCATGGTTTTGCAGCCACAAGAGCAGTGAATATCCAAATGTGAGAATAACACTTCAAAGTTTGTTCAGTGTCAAAACAAATTAAAAAGTTAGAGATGTTTCTGATTTAGTTTATCACTCAAAGGCTTTAGGTTCCTCATAGAGTGCTGAACAAAATTTAAAAGAAAAAAAATGGCAGACAATTGGAGTACTTGAACTTCACATATATAAGGTCATTCTAGGATATAACCAGGCTAATCAGCATAGCAGTAGTTGGCTGGCAAGTAGTCCTAGGCTTATAAAGATTTTCTCCAAAGATTTTTAGATATTTCAGTGTTAACAGTCTACAATCCAGTACTGAGAGGGAGCACAAATTGGGTCTGGGAAGATTCTGCACAAAAAAAAAAAATACATATAAAAAAAAGCTTTTGGGCTGAAATGCTATATCAAAAGTCTTAGAATATTGTGAAAGAGGTTGCTAAAATGTTACATAGAACCTCTTCTGCTGCATGGCAGGGAATCTTGGAATGTCACTGAACAAATTAAGAAGAATTTGGAAGCAACAGAGATGTGGTTTCTGAGACAAATGTTACAAATACCTTGGACGGCCAGAGTAACTAACAACGATTGCTTGAAAGAGTCTAATGAAAGTAGATCTCTTTATACAACAAAATGAAAGAGGCAAACACTATTCTTCGGCACATATGAGAAGAGAGACATTGAAGAACATCGTTACAACTGGAAAGATCAGTGGAAGAGGGGGTAGAGGCAGACCAAGAGAGTAGATGCTGGATGGGCTAAAACGATGGCATGGAGGGATATGAACAAGAGAGCTGTTTCAGTCAACCAGGGATCGTGATCTGTGGAGACGCATGAGCGCGTATGCCAGTTAGCAGGGCACATGATGGTGATGATTGTGGACCAAGCAGAAAAAAAAAAAGACATTCCACATGGTCTGAACATCGAGGCATTCAAAGAGAATTGGCTGATAAACAGCACCCTGTCCCAAAAGCTGAGGTATTTTGGCCATCTTAAGAACCCTGGCGAGAATGGTGATATTTACACACACACACAAAAACTGAGGCAGAGGCCGGCCTTCACAGAGGTGGATACATGACATCGAAGATGCACAGGCTGAGAAAGCACATGGGGCTGGACAGTTGGCTAACGAAAGAGAGCATTTCAGACATGCCGTGAAGAGAGCAACATTCTAGAAAGGACCTGCTGATTGACAATGACAAATAATTACTGCTTCCAAATAAGAATCTGACAGTTCCCAGTTTTGTGTTTAGTAACTAGGAATATGTGCCAGAAATGATTGAAAGTATGTCAGACAGAAGGCTGTATCCCTGTGTGGGTTCCGGGGCCCAACTGTGGAGAAAACAAGATTAAACCCAATTGCTCACCAAAAAAAAAAGCATGTCATAAGATCGACTAAATGGGGAGCTTGCTTCAAAGTCAGAGTGCATCTGCCTAAGGGACAAGGAACCAGCAGTCTGCAAAAATCTAGATCTGTAAAATGGATGCACATGCAAAGCTAATTTTTCTTTTTTTATCTCTTTCATACAAATAGTCATACTTTTACTTAGGTTAGGGTGCTGTGGAAACATTTTCATTGAAAAAAGGCGCCACGACTAAGAAAGATTTGGGAAACACTGCTGTAGACTATCAGCCCTTTGGGGCATAGACTATAAGAAGAAGAACCAGGGTTATGCCAGTATCTTTTTTTTTTTAAAAGCATAATTTGTTAGTTTTTTTTTAGGAACTGAGTTGCCTTGTTTGTTACTTTTTACATTATTTGCATTGTAATTAATTTTAGGCAGGATTAGAGAGACATGATGCAGACTCACTCTCTGAGATTCATAAGGACCAAATTATCACCGCCAAGTAACCATCTTATTTTTTGTCTCCAGCATTTAGCCTCTTTTGTGTGGATGCAACAAGCAGCTTCTTTAATGCTTTGGAATCAGATGGCTACTTGAAAGTTCCTCAATTGTCCAATGTGTCATCTGTGGAGCCGTACCTGGAGACAGCCCATGGAATTATGACATCTTACTGGAATGGAATAGTCCACTTCATTTTGTGTCTTGCATCTGTAGCACTCTACACAAACAGGTAATGCAGTTTATTTGCAGTCCCTTGGCATGTAAGTTTCCTTTATAATTCAACTCCCCACCTGTCCCTACCTGTGTTGTAGGGCCCCTTTAAAAGGCAAGGGCAGATGGGAGTGGACCAACTGCTCCTTAACAAGCATATTATAAAAGTTGACTAATTGAATATTTGCTGAATTAAGATGTGTTGGACTGAAAGGCCTAGCTATTGCATCCTAGCTGTAAACCACAACTCAATGTGCCAGCTGCCTTGTTAAAGATATATGCAGGAGAAACTACCCATGTAATCAGATCAGTAGTCAACAAAGATAACTGAAACCAAAGAGTGAAACCAGACAAAGTGAGTCTAGCTAGACAGGGTCTTATTTGCTTCAGAAAAAAACAAAAACCGAAAGCTCATTCGAATAAAGATCTTCATATTAAAGTTGTGCATTACCAGTAAAGAGTGACCAGAGAAACTGAACAATGCTCACTACTCAAAGTAATTCATATAAAAAAAAATAACTAAAAAAATCAGACTGCAGCTCCCCATGTGGCTCTCTGGGGCTCCAGATTTGATGTGTGTGTGGGTGGGTGAGGGATTTACACTCCACCCCCTTAAAAAGCAATGTCATAAAAGGTGACTAATCAGGGATTTGCTGAAAGTTGCCTATATAGCTGAAAAATTGCAGGTATCATGCCTTGCTGTAAACCAGTTGAGTTGAATTGAGTCAAGAATTGATATCACAGCTCTTGGGGCATTCCCATATGCGCTGAATCCCCATCTTTAGCAGCCAGAGCAGAGTTCCAGTACCAACTGTGCCGGTCGTAGTCTGGTTGTATGTGTAATTTGCCTTTCCTCTGATCCTAGTATGCTGGCCGGACCCTCTAGTCACACCCAGATGCATCATTCTCTCCAGCCCATAATAATCTAGTTTCTCTTATATCTTTGTTACTTGTTCCCAAAGGGCTCTGATCACATCTGCCTTGTCATGTATCAATTCACCACCCAGCGGTGCAGATCCAGCCAATCTGTTTGTCTATTCGGGTGCAAGGACATTCTGACTATTATTGCCAGGATGTCTCATTGTTTAGGAACACTGCTTTACATTAATTGTACTAGCACAGTGGATAGTCTTCTGACTTTCTAGTGGATTGGTCTATGCTTTATCCTCAGTTTAAATATTTTCTCAAACTACAGGTATTGGATGTTGGCCTGACTTCAAAAATCTAGTACAGTGCAGATCGCTTAAAGCGATCTCTGATGTGATGAATTTGTGTTGTGAAGAACAATTTATCCCCGGTGATGTTACTTGCTCAAACTCTTATCCACATAAGAGGAATTTCTGATAAAAAGAAGCATTTCTTTGATACTTGTTCAGTTCTCCTTTTCAGCTCTGTACTGTATATATTTAGCGCTGCCATTCCCATATTTAGAGATATGTTGAGCGCTGCCATTCCCATAGTTAGAGATGGCTGTATTGCACCCAACTGCCATTGTAGAGATTGCACAGTTGTATTATTATTATATCATTATCAATATCTGTCAGAAAACTGCTACTACTTTTGCTTGTCTTTATGAGCATGTACAATGCTGCCATATTTATTTTAGCTTATATATTTTTTTTCAATGACAGGGACAGCCACCGTGAGGTAATCTTGTACTGGGCAGGGTCATTGCTGAACAGCATGGTGGTGTTATTGCCAGCTTGTGCTACAGGTTGTCTTATACTTTTGATAGTTTTTAAATTTAAATTTTATTTTACAGTATTAACTCTTTTAATCCCAGGTAGCTTTTACTAGAAGGCTTTAATCCCAAAAGTTTTTTACCCATTAGAGTACAAATCTTTAAGCATGAGTTAAAGCAATACTGTTATCAGACAGAACTAACAGTAAAAACTTGGCCACAGTGGGGTTCATGTAACAGAAGATGGTACAAAAGAAAGAAAGAAATACAATCAGTGTATAACGTACTTGTTGAATGTGTAGTGAGGGGCAGTAGCAAGGCTTGATCAGATTGCACATATAAGTATTGTCAGGTAACAGTTACAGTGCAGAGGTGTCACATGATGTTGTCATCGATTTGTTTAGAATATGCAAGCACAGCTAGCATTGTAAGCATTAGTAACTGATAGCCTCCAAACATGACATGTGTCTGAACCAGTGGTGTAAGCATGCAGCAAGCATTCTATTTGCTATGTTTGCGACGTAAACCGAGTGACGCATTTGTAATAAACAGTAAGCAATAATATATAATAAAACTAAATGTTTCGTTGGTAATGGAAAGTAAATGATAAACGATTGAAGGTCAATGGTTCAGATCGGCATTAAGATGGATTTTTAAAAACAAAAATGGACTTTGACTTCCAGGTTGACCCAGCTTAAAATGGGTACCAAGGGATTCCTGGGAAGTAAAGATAGCTGGCACATTTATTTCCAAGAAAATTCACAGTACAACAAATACAAACAAAACGTGAATTTTGTGGCTATGGAGCCCTCATCAGCACGTACACAAATCAAACAATACCACACAAAACACAAAATCACTGAGCTGGTATCTCGAAGAAACCGGGTTGATGACTTCCCTGCAGACTGCCGAGACACTTGAGCCAGGGAAATAAATACCCCCTGTGGAGTGCCAGGGACCATAACTGGAGGATGTGAGATAAAACTGTGTGGGCAGTTCAATCCTCTAGGAGTTTAAATGAAACTGCGTTGGCAGTTCACTCCTTTAGGTGTTAAAAGTTCCCAAAGTCCAACATTTGACGTTCAACAAGGAGCCACCATTCGGATGAGAACCATCCGGGTCCATGTCCCAGAAACCCTGTTCAACCCGTAGGATATATTTTTGGCCCCTAATGACAGCCGGGATGAAGCTTTAAAATAAAAAAATTGCATCCCACAATGATGGTGATCATTATTCACAAAAGTATTGCAGTGTCCATTTTAAAAGACTTTGTCTTCAAGACAAAACTCAGAATTTGCAGCAGCAACATTTTGTTGGAAATTACTGTACACAATTGTGTGTTGTAGAATGACAGCAGGAATCTCGCACATAAATTAGAGAATTTTAAGAATAAATGTTTTAGAAGGATCATGTAAATATTTTGGCCAAAACAATTCACAACAGACCAGCGACAGTGATGTTACTTGTGAATCCTTACGCATCAACAGAAAGAAGAGGATATCTTTTTTTTAGCAGTCACAGGCTATAAACTCTGGCCAAAAGTTCTTGTTATGCATCCACTTCTGGACTCTTCTTCTGCAAATTGAGTTTTGAATGCACATACCTTTTACAGATCTGGCTTTGTTATGCAGACTGTTGGTTCTCCATATATCTCAGGCAGAAGCACTTAGAAGGAAGCACCCCTCATTAATCGCCTTTTATGGCATGCTTATTAGGGAACAATGGGTCTTTCCTCCCTTTCTTCCTCTTCCCACACTCCCACACATCACAATAGAACCTTGGAATGCAAACGGAAAAGAAGAGGATGCAGAGAGATTAAATGAGGTTGGGTCAACCCGAGAGCCATTCTGTGCGCACACAAATAAATCCTATCAATGCTGGTAGCTCAGACTAGACGCGATCCTGGTAAGCAGATGCACTAACCACTTTTTTACATCTTGGTACTGACCAAATAGGGATAACTGTTTTGCAGATCACTTGATAGCTAACAGAAACAATAACAAATTTAGATAGTAGTTGTTGGTTAAGCCCCATGTCACAGACTCACAGTTTTCAGCTTAAGTGATATTTGCTGCTGCTCAGAGGTTAGAAAATGTCATGTATGTGTTGCATACACAGTCTCACTAGCATCTGCAGGACTAGGCATACATGTTTGGCAGCCAACCTGGACATCTCCATTGGCCACTGGTACAGCACTGCACTATGTTAGTGCAAGTCAATGATGTTTTTAAATTCATAAATGGTTTTAACGTGAGCTGAACTGAATGACAGTATCTGGGAGGGCTAACCTGGGCAACAGTGCCTGCAGAAGTCCATTGTGTTGGCAGAAAGGCTCAATATCACAGCCATGTTGTAGAAGAGTGTAACACACTTGCGTCTTTGGATGAATGCAGAGGAAGAATGTTACAATATTTATTAACAAAGAGAAAAAAAAAAGATTTTGGTCAGGAATTTTTTTTGGTGTCTTCTACAGGCAACATTGGAATAAAAGCATCAACCCTCTTCAACTTATTGTATGTTGTGTTGCCGGTTGTTGTCATTTTTTACTACATTGAGAAGCGTCCATTTCAAGCAAGGACATTTGTCAAGGTAATCTTGACTGTTTGCAGATATTTTAAGTTTTGTGCCCCGTATTATCAACATTTTGTTTTCTCCAAGAACCACAGTGAACCACCTCACCATTGAATTAATCATAGTTCAGTATAAATCTTTAGAAGTCAGGTTTTTTTTTGTGTTTTAATTTTTACATGAAATTCATCACATGTCCCTGTATAACCTAATATAGAATATGATTGACCTGTTCTCTGTGTTCACCGGCTGTAATCTGCCAGCAGAAAGCTCTGCTTGTTCGGCCATCTCTGGACTTTAGTCTTGTTCTAGTACTTGAGTTTCATGTGCATATCCATTTTACAGATCTAGCTTCTTTGTACGTATACTGTTGGTTTCTTGGGGTCAGGAGGATGAACTCCAGCTTCAAGGGAAACCCCTAATTGGCCGACTCTTACGACCTGTTTTTTTAGGAGAGAGTGGGTTTTTTCTTGTTTTTCCTCACAATGGGTCCCCGGAAGTCACACAGGGATTTGACCTTTTTGATTGTTATGCCTTTATTCTATATAAAATAAGTTTGAGTGTTCTTGGAAATTACTGTGCATAAAATTTTGCTAGCCTATATATATATATATATGTGTGTGCATACGTGCTCTCACTCTGTATCTCTGTCTCTATCTCGCTCTCAACAATGTATATTCTGCACTGGATCTCACCGTGGATAAATAGACATTATAGCTCTGGCTAGGATAGAGTCTCATGGGAATGACAAATGTGCAGTGACATCGATCGTAATAACATAACAAGACATTATATATTCTGTTTGTTAGAAGAGTACAAAAGTGGGCTAGAGCACATTCAGTTGTCTTGTAGGAACATCTTTTACTTTTTTTTTTTGCAATCACTAATTTACTATTGTATAGAATTTTATAATAATGATTTTGAAGTAATTTATTTCACTTTCAAAATGCTACCCACAGTATGAAACAATACTGAAACGACCAGTTGCTCTCCTTTTCCTGGCTTACTACTTGGCAGCAATTGTACTTGCAGTTTCCAGAGGATTGGTGAGTCAGTAAAGTGTACTTTGTTGTGATATTTTACCTCAGTGTTCCTGTGTGGTCTGCTGACTGCTGGTAGTCCACGGAAATGCCGTGATGGCCTGCCAGAAAGTTTTTCTGATTAAATAGTGGCTACATGATTTTGGCACTATATTGCTGTATAGATTTTCACAACCTAAGCATAGCAGATGTCCTCATGTGGGTTTCAAAGACCCATTTTAGGGGACAAATAAAATAGGGATGTTTCTTTCAAAGTCGCAATGCATCTGCCTGATAGGCAAGAAAGCAAATTGTATAAAATGAGCAAGAATTTTAAACTGATGTGCACGCAAAACTCCAGTTCTGAGACAAGGTCAAAGTCCAGAAGTGCACCAAAAACCAGAACTTTCCACCGGAGTTTACAGTTAGTGAAGAAGAAGATGAATAGCAGCAGATGTCGCATTAGCTGAAATTTTAAGTTTGTGACATCAGATAAAAAATTTTGTGTTCCAAATTAGCTGTCACATGGTCCGTGAAACTATTTTCTGTTTTGCCGGTCCGCAGCTGTTAAAAAATATTTCTTTAAAAAGACAATAAAAAAACTGAAGACTGCTGGATGACCTTAATCAATTATACTTGTCTGCTCAGGGATAGAGTCACTGTCATTTCTGGGATGGTTAGCTCGGTCAGCAGATAGACTTAAGCGAACAGTAGGTCACTTGAATGGTTATAACTACTACAGTTTTGTATGGAGGCACTGCATATTATGTCCAGAACAGTGTAATATCAGAAGGCTTGTTTACTCAGTGGTGTCAAGGGTTCCCTACTGGTTTATTCTGCGAAATAATAAAAATCATATTTGTTTACTCAGTGGTGTCTAAGGTTCCCTACTGGTTTACTCTGTGATATAAAAAAAATCATAATTGTTTACTCAGTGGTGTCAAGGGTTCCCTACTGGTTTACTCTGTGATATAATAAATATCATAATTGTTTACTCTGTGATGTAATTAATATCCTACTGGTTTACTCTGTGATATAATAAATATCACAATTGTTTACTCTGTGATGTAATTAATATCCTACTGGTTTACTCTCAATAACTGCTGATTTAATCAGCGATTTAATTAGTAACATAGTAATTTACTCAGGGATATAATTAGTGTCATATTTGTTTGCTCAGTGTTACAGTTAATATACTGAGTAACTGATTGTTATAATTATCATAATTGTTTACTTGGCAATTTAATTAATTCTATGGCCCAGCCTTGAATGGGTACCAGGTAAATAGTCATGGGGAACAAAGCTGGCCAGCAGGATACTGACCACATCACTCACTGAGTATCCATTGGTCTATAAAATAGAGGTCTAGTCCTGTATGCCTAAAGGCGTGAAAAAGGGTCCTTTACTTTTTCTCCTTGTATGTTCCGGGGGCTGTTGAGATAGACTCACTGCCACTTAATAATCATGTTGTAAAACTAGACTAATTTAAGGTTGGCCAAAATTGGATGTTTTGAGCCACAGGAGGCAGATGTCGCAGACTAGTTGTAAACAACAACACAGTGTGCTAACTGCCCTTTTAACTCTGGCTAGCAGTTACTTTAACTCTGTCTAAATAGAGAATTCTAATGTAAAGCAGCGACTGTATGAGTCCATTCAGTTTAAAATAATAACACAATGAGATAGAAAAAACCAAAAAACACAATAGACCTAACCACACTAGTCTACAGGTTACTCTGTAACCGTTTTGTGGTGCCCCAGTATAACTGTTATATGGCCATACAGGTGAAGGGGGTTTCTGGGAATTGCACCTGTTTCATTCACCACCTTGGGATGTTAACCCTGCAATAAGGCAGACGTGGTTAGTGCCTTGTGGGAGAGTGTGTACAGTTTGAAGGAGCAGATGGATCACCACAGTCTGGTGAGAATAATGCAGTGGGAGTGATGAGAAGTTCTGGAAGATGCTCGAGGCTCAGTGGAAAGGCAAGACGGAGGTTTAATCAGAAAGCTACTGGCACCATTAGTATCCAAACTCTTCACTGGCTGCTTAAGATGGGGACAGAGCGCTTATGGGAATGCTCCGAGTGATGTGATGTCGGTTCTTGAATTAACTCACTCAGCTCAACTCAACTGCAATCCTGGAGTGAAAAATCTTGTTAAAACATTGAATTGTACTGTTCACTCAGTAATATCATGTGTGTGAGCTCAATGATATCTCATCATCTATCCTTTGTTCCTGACCAATCTCTCCACGCGGATGTTGAATGATCTTGAAGCGTTACTCTGGCTTGGAGGACATGCAACAAGCTGATGTTTATGAATAGATTCATATTTATATCTGAGAAAGGGTGAAGAAAACATTATTATTCTGTGTTTATGACTAACTTTTTCTTTCTTTTCATTTTTCTTAAAGACAGTCTTAGGTGGGCGTACGTCAGGCATAACCTTCTTGAATAAATATGAACCCTATCTGAAAGACCCATCAGGTTTTCCAAAGTTTCAGGTAAGAGTTCTGTAAGTTGTATATATGTTATTTTTGTTTGTTCTTGAAATTATTTCACTCTTAGTCAGTCACATTCTGATATCTCATGAAACTAGTGACTTAAAGGCTTGTTTATTGCTTGTGATCATTGGTGAAGCTTTTACTTTAGGAAGCAACAGTGCTTACAAATTAAGCCAGATCTGTAAAATAGATATGCACGCAAAACTCAGGTTCTGGATAAAAACCAAAGCCCAGGAGTGGACTGTCAAGAAATTTCTGAGGGGGTCAACAGCCCATCTCATGTAAATCACCAGAATCCTTCTAAATTTAGCAGTTCGCAACAGAAACAGTTGTACAATAGTTCTAAAAAACCCTACTGTAGGAATTGTAGAAATAATTCCCACCACACTAATGATTGTAAGGTGAAGTCAGCAGGGGGGACTCAATTGTCAGCTATGTTGACGACTGTTGGTTCGTCTGCCGCAGAGAAATTATATAACCGTTTCAATAGGCCACCTGTGGTAGAGAAGGTCTGGGCTAATAAAAAGAGAATTTCTTGTCTATATGATTCAGGGTTGTCCTACTCCGCGGTCTGTTCCCCTGAAATCGTTAGAGCTGATCAGTATACAGGTGAATTTATAGAGCTCAGAAGTGCAACTCTTGATGCTCGACCCATGAACTTGCCGGTAGCCAAGATAGAGGTCAAGTCTAGATACGTTACTGGGGTGATTGAGGCGGCCGTCTTGAAACGGAGTACGTTCCCTCTTATTTTAGGAGCTCGTTATGTCTATTTAGCGAATGCCCCTACACCTTCAGAACAGCTTGCGGTGATGACCACCCGTGCGCAACATAAAAGTGCCACGGAAGATCAAAGTCACGTAAATCCCTTACCTGACGAGATCAAGGTAGCCCAAGAGACTGACCCTACCCTTAGAGCTTGTTTCAAAAAATTACTGTGATGAACTGTAAGAAGAAGGAGAAGCATCCCGTACGGGCCCTGGTAATACATGGGTTTGATCTTTATTGGCATAAATGTACGCTTGTCTCTCTTGTGTTCAGCAGCTGACAGATACCTTTTCTGGACTTGTATTTTACAGGCACTGACATATGAATACCTGTTTGTAGTGTACTACTTAGTAGCAATCTATGGATTGTTCAATCCTGGCCAGCATTGGATGGCTGACTGGTCATTGGTTCATGCAGGAGCAGCAGCTCAAGTAAGTTTTTCTAACTGATTTTGTTGTTGTGGAAGAGTCGAGCGGATCGACTTTATTGCACCATGTTTGATTTCGTGTAGCTACAGAACGGCTAGCCGCCTGCTGAGAATATCACACATAGCACAAACACCATAACTCTGGTGATGATCTATAGGTATCTGTAAAAATTTCACCTGTGAACTGAACGACACAGCTGTGAAACAAACCCATAACTTTCAAGGCACGAGGCAAACGGGTTGATCACTTTACCACGGCAACCCTTTTTTTTTCACAGTCACTCTGCGTGGAAATTTCTGGTTGTTTGTCCACTTTTGGACTTTAATCTTGATCCAGAGCTTAAGATTTGCGTGCACATCTGTTTGATAGATCTCTTTAGATTTGTAAGTGGACTGTTAGTTCCTTACCTGTCGGGCAGATGTGCTCTGACTTCGAAGGAAAACCTGCTGAAACCTTTAGTCAACGTTTACAATATGCTTGTTGTTAGGGGAACAATAGGCCTATTCTTCCCTTTTCTTCCCCAAAATGGGGCCTTGGAACCCACACAGGGAGCTTTTAAACCAGTCATAGGTGCTCGACCTCACCTGTAGCATAAAACTTATGAGCACTTTAAAAATGTTTAACATGCAAGATTTTATTTGGCTGTTGGTGGCTTTACCTTGATTTTGTGGGTGTCAGAATTTTAGATTTTACTACTGAGCGTAGAATTGCCTGATTCAACTACAGTCAACAGATGCTTAGTTTTGTTTTGCAATGTCACTAAATAGACTGCATACCCTGGGTGTACCAACTGGAGCCACGAGATAATAAAACCATAGGGAGCCACCTGTCGTCACATCAGCTTGAACAGAATGGGAGTTGTTAGCCTAAAAGCACTTGGAGACATACTCAGGAGGAGATTGGAGCACTTCTGGCAATGTCCAATGTGCGATGAAGATCATCTCAAAAATGAACAGTACAATGTCTTAAAAAAGATACACAAGTGACTGGTTCTCAGTCTCAGTATTGTTTCACAAGCAGGAATATTCATTACTAATTTGTTCATCCCGGAGCCACTGTGGTCTAGTGGCTAGCGGCTTGCCTGCGGATCGGAAGATCGTGTGTTCGGGTCTTGACGGAGGCCGGACTTTTTTCAGAAATGACCTTGGCTCCCTGGTCGACCCAGCTGTGAGTGGGCACCAGTTTAGTCCTGGGAAGTAAAGGTGGCCGGCGTGATACTGACCACATCTCCCACCAAGTGATGTTTGGCCAATAACATATAGGTCTGGCTCTTTACACCCAGTACGCCTGAAAGGCGTGGAAAAGGGTACTTTACTGTTTACTTTTTAGTCTGTTCATCCTGGCCCACATAGGGCTGCAGCTCACACCTGGCTGGGGTAGCCATTATTGTTGCCCTAATTTTGACTTTTTAAGGAGTTGAATAGGGTATCTGGGATCTGCCTTGTTCTGTGATCCAGATTGAGATTGTTAAATCTTGGGATGTAATGGTAAACCTATAGGCAGCAGCTTGGGGGGGACAGCTGATCTTCTTCTTTACTCTACTTCTGGAATGCCTCGCGGCGTCAGGGCAGGAAGAGATCTCTGGAACGGGCCCTTCTGTTCGCTTCGTATAAAGTACTTTTTAGTGTCTTTTTTACTCTCCCTATCATTCTACTCGGTTTTTAAGATCTCTTCATTTTCTGCGTGCACTAAAGTAAGCCACTGTCGGTTTGCTGGACCAGTCACAGTCTTCAAACTTTCCAGAAGGTCACACTTGAACTAGACAATCACATTCAGACTAGTTGAACACAACTTCCACTCTAGGATGTCCGAAACTGACCCTAGTTAGATGCTGGCTGAAAAATCAACATCCCTTGCCTTGCTGTCTTGAAGCACTCAAGCATTCCTATGCATACTCCGTCCTCATCTTCAGCAGCCAGCGCAGAGTTCCAATACTGATGGTACCGGTCACAATCTGGTGAAATGTCCGTCTTGCCTTTCCTCTGAGTGTAGTCAGTTGGCTGTATTGACCAAAGTGCAACTGATCTGTCGATCTATTACCAGTCTCTTGGGACTTGAACATCGTGGCCTTATGAGCAGAAACTGGTAGCTTTCCACTGTGAGTTATCAGTGTTTTTCACTGTTGGTGTCATTGTTAGCTTTTTTTTTGTTTAAAATTTCAGACACTTTTCTCTAACTATGATGGATTATTTCTTTGTTGGAAGGGTTAAATATATAAGTGAAATACTTGTTTTATGTTGTGATTTAGGTCATATGCACAGGCAGAAGTTGTGTCACATATAAAAGGAGTTTCTGCTGTATGATGCAGAAACTTGGACAATGAACAAGCTACTAGAAAATCTGACTTTCTTGAAATGTGGATACTGAAGAAGGTTGTATTTGCTAGAGACAAAAACAATTTAATATAGAGGTTCTGGAAAGACTGCAAATGAAAAAAGTAACTGATAGACTTTAAAAAGAGACAACTGAAATATTTTGGCCACATTAAAAGACGCAATAAAACTACCAGACGGAAACGTCGAGGCAAGAAAGCAAGAGGTAAGCAGTGATACAAGTGGGAGAACATCAAGAGATCAAAAAGCTGTCCAATTGCAGCTAACCTTCATTGTGGAGATGGCACCTGATTCATTAAATCTCAGCTCAGGCATCAGCAAGTTATATTTTGATTGTTCAGAATACGACTGAAACTGTGATGACCAGGCTGGCAGTCATGTGTGCTAACCACTGCTCTTTGATAGCTCTCCTAGTATGTCATTTTGTGACTGAATTTACAAGATCAGTTTTAAATTTAGTAATGTTTGTATATTTCAGGCCCAGTTCAGTTACATATCTAGCTCTCTCCATCGCTTGACTCCGAGAGATTACCAGTCACCCAGGACTGGTACGCCTGCCATTGTTTTTTGGACCGTTAACCTGGCTTTGTTCATTGTGCCCCATCTGTTTGCTTGGTGGTGTCAGAGGGACCCAGAAAATTTTGGCAGAACCTACACTGTGGACCTGGCAACCCCAGTACAGACTTACACCGTCAGTAGCAGCAGGCGGACTGTGAGATCATCAAAGGCAGAGTAAAACCTTGCAGCAATCGATGAGTGTAGACAAATTTTTAAAGAATCATTATGAAATTGTATGTCTGCTGTAATAGTTCCAGTTCTTTAAAAAAAAAATGTCATTGTTAGTTCATTTTAACAATTTGTGTGACTGGCACAAACATAAGAAAGAGGGTGTCATCATTTTTTGGTCTCATTATAGAATTATATGCCTGCTGAGTTTCAGTTTGTTTACAACTGTAGGCATTGTTGGTACATGTTAACAATTTTTAACAACTTACACAAACATCAGAGAGAGGCAGTCATAATTTTTTGGGGTCTCATTATGAGAAGAGAAAAACTGGAACATGTGACAACTGGGAAGATTTATTAAAAGGAAGATAAGGAAAAATAGATTTATCGCAGCCTTTTGTCGGGCGTGGAAATTGTCTCTGTGAAGTGATACATATGGTTAGAGATTGCAAGATGTGAAAAATAAGTGCTTGAAGACCTTAGTTGAGATGGCTGTATACGATTTAGCATACTATTATATATGATCTCAGTAGAGAAAGGTTACACCTAAGACTAAAGAGACAAACCTCCTTCAGTGACTAATGACAGACAGGGACCAGAAGATAGTACAGGCAGTCACCTTCAGTCTGCCAATGGATAGGCCAAACAGCCTTTAATGAGATGGTACTTTTATTTGTATTTCTGTTAGTAAATGTTGCAACTATTATGAGAATCAGTTCATAAACTTTTAACTACATTATTTAATATCTATTGAGCAGTAAAAGATGTTTTTTTCTGTCTCCTCTATTTAAGATATTGTGCTCAGTTCTGTAATTTTAGAGTAGATTTTAGTTACAAGGTGTTGGTGGTTTTAATAATAAAGTTACAGGTTGTAGTAGTGTAGTGTTCAACTGGTGAGTGGTAAATTTGTATACTCATATAAAATATAGCAAAGGTTAAAGAAGCCTGCATAATTATTTCCAATATTTAAAGATTATTCCTCTCATTCAGCAAAACAGACATTGCAATGTAAATAAGCATCTTTAAATCATTTTATTTTTTTGGTCCTAGCATACACTAGTTGTCTTCTTGCACACACACCAGAAAGAAAAATTTGTGTTTTGTTTATTTTACAATAGTTTGTGATTGTAATTTAACCTAAGCTATTTTTAAATTGATTACAGTGTGCCAGATCATTAAGTTTGATTCTAGTTTAGTCAGTAACTTCTAGTTCACATATCTCCTCTCTTGCTTTTAAAGCCGTTATTTTGTGAAGAGTTTGCATGTTCAAGTGTCATGATTATGGAAGTCAATGAACTGTCTTATACTTTGGTTAGCTTGAAGTACTTTCTCAGTTTAAAGAAAGACTGGAAGTAATTCAGGTAATTATTACATATGTTAAGAAAATGTTAACACGAACTCACTTAAGAGGACACTTCATTTGTCCCAGCAGGAATGTATTATTTTTTTATTAATCCCGATCTTCTGCCCTGTCCCCCAATGGAGCATAGGTCCTCAACTAGCTCATGTCAAGTTGTCCAATACTTTGCTGTTGCATGCACCAATCCCGGCTAGCAGTTTAAGGGAAAAAACCACACAGACTTGATTTTTAGTCCCTTGGAATTCACGTTAATGAAGTTTCACTGTAATTATCTGTCGATTAGCATATGTTGTTCGATATATATGCCAAAGACAAACGCTGCCCATTTATTACCAAGGTGCCATTGGGCAAAATGAAGAAAAAGCTTGAGACACTGATGATCTAGACTGATAGCTCCGAATATATGACTTCAGTCAAATCCTAGGTTTTGTGTGTATCTTTTTGTGCTGGTAATTTTATTGTTTTTTGTTTTGATGCAGAGCTTACAATAATTCACAGGATACAAGAGAATAGTTGTTGAGTTTGTTATAGATGCTAAACAGCTGCTTGTAGTTTCTGTAAGGCTTTTTTACCTGTGTTTTCAGGAGAACACGGAAATGTATGCAAGCCATAGCTAAATATTGGCTTTATTGAAGAAAGTTTAATGTTTTCTTTAACTTTCTTTGCAGCAGTCTTATTATGTTTTATATTTTTTACCACTTGATGTATTCAGATGCTTTCATAGACTACTTAGGGTTAATTTGGTAATTTATACAGTGTGTTATTTTAATATTTAAAAAATTTAATATGCAATTAAATTTAAATGCATTTTTCATGTTTTTCAGTGTCAGTTTCACTGCTTTTACTTGTTTCTGTGAAACTATGTAGCTGAAATCATTGCATATATATTATTAGGTGCTAACAAGAACTTTTAGTTTGTATATTATTGATGTTTTTGGAGAGATATGCCAGGGTTGTGGATGTTATATTACTAGATCATATTTGTAGGAAATATTATTTGTTGTCACCACTGTAAAGAAAGTAGATTGTTGTTATACTTTTGTTAAACTTTCCTGTGTTTCATACATATATTCTAAACCCCTGTGCTATATTTTAGTGATCACTAAAGGGCTATTTGTGCCATACTTTAGAATTTTGTAAATCTGTTTTGATATTGTTTACAAATATGGTAAAATCTCTGTTAATGTATGTTTTGATAACACAAGTTATTCTTCCACAATAGTCATTTTAGGAAACATTTCAGGCATAGCTTGAAATGTGTGTTTGTGTTTTTTATGGGCGAACCCATCTACAAAAGACAAAATATAAAATCAGATGAATGTAGATTATGCCACGGAGCTGACAGAATCACAAATGGATTACTGTGTGCCAATGTTTGTGGATGTTATATTACTAGATCACATTTGTAGGAAATATTATTTGTTGTCACCACTGTAAAGAAAGTAGATTGTTATACTTTTGTTGAACTTTCCTGTGTTTCATACATATATTCTAAACCCCTGTGCTATATTTTAGTGATTGCTAAAGGGCTGTTTTACTTTAAAATGATGTAAATTTGTTTTGATGTTTACAAATATGGTCAAATCTCTGTTAACTCATGTTTTGATAACACAAGTGATTCTTCCACAATAGTCATTTTAGGAAACATTTCAGGCATAGATAGCTTGAAATGTTTGTTTGCGTTGTTTATGGGCGAACCCATCTACAGAAGACAAAATATAAAATTAGCCGCAGCTGACAGAATCACAAATGGACCACTGAGTGTGCCAATTTCTTAAAGGTCAGAACAGTTAACCTTTTGGTCCTAAAATGCCAAATTTCAGCATTGCTGTCTGACACAATTCCCTGAATAGCCTATATTTCGGTAGTATGGCTTGGCTAGTCATCGCAATGTCTGTTAAACCGCTTTGATACTTTTTACACCCGTGTAGTGTTTGGAAGGTCCAGATATGGTTATTTTGAAGAGAGAAAAAATTACTTTTTTTTAGTCATTATGACATCATATTTGTCTTTATCCTTTAATGATAGCAACATATAGCAATAGTAAAGTAAAGGACCCCTTTTCCACGCCTTTAGGCATACAGGGCTAGACCTATATTTTTATAGACCAGTCGACACAAGATGGGTGATGTGGTCAGCATCACACCGGCTGCCTCTACTTCCCGGGACTGCACCCGGTACCCACTCGAGGCTGGGTCGACCTGGGAGCCAAGGTCATTTTTGAAAGTCTGGCTCCGCCAGGGAGCTAACTCACGACCTTCCGATCTGCGGCAAGCGTCTAGCAGCTGCGCCACGGGGACTCCCATATAGCAATAGGGGTCGTAGTAAAAAGTTATTTGCGTATTCTTTACTGGACGTTGCAGAACCAACCCCAGTTATTGTGTTGCTGTTCTGGTTTTTCTAGACAAATTTACTTCCAGTAGTTTGCAATTCCTTTCTGGAAAGTCGGTTTCTCTATACCACTGTCGAAACCAGCGCAAGATCCGCAGCTGGGATCAAACCCGGCATTACAAAGCGCGATCGCAACACCTAAGCCACAGATGCCAACAGGGATCGTAGTATGAGTCATAAATTTGTTGAGGCTTAAGGCCAATGAATTCATTTGATTCTCCGCTTGGTTTTTGATTACTCCTAAAAAGTTTTTTTAAATTAAAGAAAATGTGTATCATTAACAAAATTGCTTTCACTAGTCTCCAATATAAAGTGGTTGATTTGTTGGAGTGAATTCCCGGATTCATGACAGTTCTTCCCCCCAAAAAAGTCAGTGCGAAAGAGTCAATTATTGGTTTAGTTTGACTCTGTATTACATTTTCTTAAACTATCCAATATCAAATGAAACAGATAAAGTGCATAATGAGTCTCAAATATAATGTACCCACAAAGAGAAAATTTTAAATGGATTAGAAGAATGTCCAGTCCTCCACATTTTGTGGGCACAGGGCGTGACTGGGTGAACTCAAGCACGCCAGGACATTTGATTATGGGTCAATGTGAAACTCCATGACATTTGTTCTTTACCATGTTAAAGAAATGTATACTGTGTGTCCACTGTATTGCATGCATTTTATTTCATGTCTTTGTTTTCATTGGGATTCCAGTACAGTTGCCTGAGGGAGGGGGGGTTAAAGTGACATATCCCTCTTGTGTTCAAGTTTAAAATTTAAAACAAGCCCAGTATGTTAGCAAGGATTGATTGAACAATCAACATACTTTCCACACGGTTTCTGCAGTCTCTGTTGAGTGGAGTCAAGAATTGACATCACAGCACTCTGGACATTCCCATTTATGCTCCGTCCTCATCTTCAGCAGCCAACGCAGAGTTCCAATACTGATGGTACCGATCACAATCTGGTTATGTGTCCCTCTTGCCTTTTCTCTGAGTAACACCCAGATGCCTCATTCTCTCCAGGCCATTATAATCTTCTATCTCTACTGATTCCATTGCTTGTTTCCAAAGGGCCTTGACCACATCTGCCTTGTCATGTATCAATTCACCACCCAGTGGTTGCAGATCCAGCCAATATGTCTGCCTGTTCATTACTCACTATGCCAGCATGGCTTGGAGAAAAGATTCAAATTATGCTCACTACTCGTGACCTTTCCAGTGAAGCTTGCCGTCTCTGTATCTAAGGTTGTTGCGTATCGTTTCC